AGAATGAGAATGAAAATAAGGTAGGTTAAAAAGGCACACTTTGTTAATATAACATACTTGTCCAGTATTATTAAAATTATCTAAGAGAGCTGAGAATTAAATACAAGCTATTGAATTTCAAAGATCTTCTATTTCAGGCTAATTTAAACAGAAATTTTAACAGCATCTCCCCAAGGAAATCAACATACACAATTCACTGGTGCAGGATTCTCAGAGTTCAGCTTGCATGAAAGCTGGCAGCCAGTTATAAGGAAGAAACACAAATTCTTGTTCCCATGGCAGGCAAGGCTGCAGGGTGGGCTCTGCTGTAAAGGCCACAGCATGAGCTGCATACCGTGGGTGTGGTTTTTAAAATGCTCTGATCCTCAAATTAGGACTGTGCTGAAATCCCATCCAATTTAAAATATTTGTTTCACTCATCATTTTGCAGAATGAGAGTTTGTTTCAATTGTGAATATACTTAATGCTATTCTCATCCTAATTTTTCATAGAAAACCAAATGGTTTTATAGTACCTCTGTATGACCTTGAACCTGCCAATATTCAGCAAAGATAGCAATGAGTGCCAACCAAAATTAAAAAGCTGGGAGGTCAATTTTTGTTTTATTTTTGTTTGTAATTTTGTCTGTTTGAAGTGGAGCTAAAAAGAGATTTGTGTCAAACCATCTTAGTGACTTTACTGATAAAGAGGGCAGAGATTTGTTCTTCTAGGAAAAGATACCTATTTTATACTGTTCACGTTTGAATTTCAGGCTGTGAAAAAGATTGATTCAAAATTTAATTTAAATTTCCATATTACAAAAATAAAGCAATCTTGCAGACATGTAAAACTATGTTTTCTTGCAAATAATAGTAACTAATTTTGCTTTGTGGTTTGGTTATTGTAGTTAGAGTTGTTGATCTTCTGTGATTTTGCTCATTCTTTGAATCTAAACATCTTTTGTGAGATCTAAGCCGTTCCTTAGCTGTACAGGTGTAAAAGGGTGTTACTGTGTGTGCAAGTTCAGCCTTGTTTAGTTCAACTCAATAATTAATTAATCCTTTTCCTAACAGTAATCCTAACATAATCCTAACATTGATGTCAGGTTCCTTCTGCGTCTCAGTGTAAAAAAATGATAGATGATGGAAACACTTCTATTGTAAGAAACGTAAGTGACAAAATACCCAGGTTTGCCGAGGGCAAATTAAGACTGATGGAGCTGCTCTTGGCACTGTTTTCTTAATTACAGTTGTCAACTAACTTTCTTGGCTAACGACACAGAACTTGTGTGTTAATAAGTAGACTCAGTATTCATACAACTTAAAAAGCCAAAATGCCTTTTTGTCCATGAGAAGAGCCTCTGTACCTCATTGTTTCATGGATATGCTGTAGGTGGGGAAAATTAAATGATTGTTTCATGGATATGCTGTAGGTGGGGAAAATTAGATGATTGCATCTGTAAAATATGTAGAGACACTTGAAAATACTGTCCTTTAAGCCAGCATTCCATCATAGTTGTGGCAGGTCTGTAGGGAAAAAAAAAAAAAAAAGTTGTTCTCATTTATTCAAGTATCTGTTGCCTGTAGTCCTCAGAGAGAGACTTAGATCCTGATATATTTGTAGTCATATGTGAGAATGATAGCACCAAATTTAATTCATAGAAAGAAAGAGGCACTTTTTTTCTTCAGTGTGCAAACTGGCTAAGAAAACTTCAAACCTTTGCAGTGCATCTTCTGCAGAGAGGAGTTAACCTTTTCCTAATTATTTTAGACAAATTAAAAGACCTGATTCCTCAGAGAGCTGCACATTTGATGTTTATGGAGCTTTCCTTGTTGGTGTTTAAAGCGATCTCACTGCTAGGAAGTAAATAAATTGCAAATATAAGCACCAAGAACTAAATTAGCATACAAGAAGTATATTTCCTAGTGAAAACAGAGATTTGAGTCTTCACACATGATTTTTTATGGTGACAGTACTAATAAAATATAACTGGATGTAATTCTTAGAAAACATTAAAAAAATTATTGGAGGAAACTCATTCTACAGTTTAAATTACTATATTATTATAAGTTTGTATTCTAGTATCTTACACAAATCCCAGTATGAAAGATAACACTACTGTCCCTAGCATCAGGGTGTTCTTTCCAAAAAATTCCTATACTCCAGTACATATGCTTGCTGACATCTGCCCATGTGAGAAGAGCACCATTAAAAGACTCCATATTTATTACTTTGCTGTGTTTACTGTTTTGAAAAGTAGAAATATCTTCATTTCTCTCTCAACCTGTCCCTTTCCCTCCTGCCTTTTTTCCTTTCTTACTGTAGCAGCTGCCTCTCGTCCAGTCACTGCAAGGACTGATGCTGACCCACCTGGTGCTGCCTCTCACCACGCCCTGGGGTGATTATTACTCTTCTCTCCTTCTGCCATTCAGCAAAGACTTCTTTTCTTCTACCAGTCCTTTCACCCATGCAAGGGTAGCATGAGCATCTCTGTATCATTGTTGTTACTATCTTTTCACCTCTGAACAAGGTCAGTCAATACATCAGCATCTTAAATATCCTCCAGAGGGTGACTGTGGCTGGATGCAAGAGGGCAGATGTTGATGGCTGCCACGGCTATTTCTGTGAGCTCTAGGCAGTTGCAGTTGTGACTGCTGGCTGGTGGAAAGAGTCCATATGGCTACAACAGACTTCCCTTTCTTAATTTTTATCATGATGCAGTAATTCTCAGTGAGGATATGTTGTTCTGCAAAACCATGTAGCTGAAGAGTTTCAGCATTGTTGTGCTGAATGCAACTCAAAGAAGAGAAACACAGATTCAATCAAGTGTACAGCCTCACAAATTTGGCCAACTATTGTCTCAGCTGTAACTCCCAGTGCTTTTGCCTTACATTGCATCACTTATCCATGCCTTTGCTGTTCCAGCTCGCAGAGTTCAGCTTGTCTCCCTTCATCATCCTCCTGGATGCTGGCAAAAATTAGTCCCCAGTAGGCTACTGTGGTAGCAGGTGACAATCCAGATGTGATGTTCTTGGGATCACCAGGAGAATTAAATTACTGGAATTGCTGCCAACCAAATAATGGTGTATGGCTGGCTTCAGTGCAGACAGCAAGTGCAAGGAGCATGTCAGTGAAAAACATTACAGGGTGGTTTTTCCCTTTTTTCTTTCAGATACCATTTTTTGCAGACCTGCAGCCTGACTCGTTCCCTTCTGTAAGGCTGGTGTCTAGGTGGGTCTGCCAGGGCCAAAAAAATAGCTGAACTTCAGTTTCACATTGAAATGTGCTGTACAGAAGCAGTGACATTTCAAAGCTGAGATCTAAATCTCTTAATTTGCTAAACAGCCATTCATGAAAATGCTCTGCAGGAGGGACTGGTGTTAGATGTAACTGTGGTGTTGTATCACACTGCTGAGGACTCAGCCTTAGTGGATGTAGCTGTTGTTGCTTCTTCTCCCAATCTGTTATTAGTCTGACTTCTTTTGTCTCAAATGAGGCAAAGTAGATGGTTTCATGTGTTGTTTTACTTAAAAGGTATCTACCTATGGAGCTTTATATGTGTGTGTGTATATGGGTGTAAATGTGTGTATAGGCATTGCACAAAAATGTATTCATCCACAGTAACAGGTGGTACTGGCAACACCTGTTGCTGGGGTCACTCAACACTCCAGTATTAAAACCCTAATTTTAGTTGCTTATAACTTTTGTCAAACTTAAACATTTGTGTTGAAATGTTATGTGCCAGGTGTCTGCCTTAGGCTGATTTGGGGGAGGGGATGTGGGGAGGCGAATTTATCAGCAAAACTATTACTGCTAGTCCAGGGAGCAGAGGCCAGGGTCCTGGTTTTCCTGTGCTGAAAAATGAGCTATTGCTGGTTGAGATGTTCCAAGCCAAAAGTTGCCAGTGGAGACCCCTTGCAGCTGGGTGTGCCATTTGCAAGCACTGTGGAAATTCACTATTTTACTGACAAAGCACCTCTGTCTGGCCAAATTATGGGCCTGTGAAAATGTTTGGTAGATGTTTGTTGACAGCTGCCCACCAGGCTGCCTCCATCGTGTCCATTTCCAGATAGTGGTGCTGCACTGGTGACCCTTTGGATGCAAAGTGCCTGTGAAGCAGCAAAGTAGCCTTGGAGACTGCGAGTGGAGCACAACAGGCTGCTGCACAGAGGGGCAGCAGTCCACAGAGCACATCCAAGTGGCTCAGTTTGTGCTTACTCAATGGGAATAAATAGGGAGTGTCTGGCTGGAATGCAGAGGAAATGGTGATGAGGGAAGAGTGTGATGGGCTGAGAGTGGTGAGAGTGAAGGGCAATAGGGTTTGGAGACATAGGGTTTCTGTAATCCCTGCCTAGCCAGCTGGAATGTTCCACTCTTGATACATTGCAGCTCCTCAAACATGTGATTTACACAGGAGCATAACCTGTGCTGCCAGTGGCTCCCCTGTTTGAGTGAATACATTTGAACCTGCTAAGAAACACTTAAGAGTTTGCATTATTTTTGTCTGATGCTGTTTCAGAAAGCAGAATTGTTTGATTTACTTCTGCTTAATAGAAACATCAACATTTTCATTCATTTTTCTTTTTTTTTCTTTTTTTTTTCTTTTTTTTTTTGGTATTTCTTAGCTTTCAGATACTCAACTTGCAACTCTTCAAGGACTATCATGTGTGCATGGACATCCCTTTATAAATACTGCAGCTGTATAGTCTTGCTTTGGAATCTGTGCAACATTTGTAGCTCACAGTATGCAAAGTCATACTAGTAAGTTGGTCACTGATACAAAAGTGGGCTGTGGTTTAATCTAGGCTGAGAGAACATTTGAACAGACTGCTCATATTATTTTTAAATTTTGTCCTTTCATGATCATTATGGGAATTAGAAACAAACTGTCTGTTGCGAAATACTCTGTTTCATATTACTTAGCATTTTCCCATAAAAATCTGAAGAAATGCCACAGAACCTGATCAAAGTTCAAAGTCAGTTTGTTATTGAATGATGACGATTTTTTTTTTTTATTATAGGCAAAGCCTCAGCCAAGAAACTGACAAAAAAGGTAAGCAAAATGTTCCTTTCTTTCTTCAAAAGAACTTGCATTCTTTCTGTTACTGAAGTGATTAAGTCTCTTTCAAAACTGGCATTATATTTTCTTGTTTGTGTCTTTAAAGGAGGTAGATGCTGCACTGGTGTATGTTGCCAAAGCTAAACCAGGACCGACCTTTTTTAGGGAGCTTGGTGATAAAGGTAATGAGAACTTCTGATACTGAAAAATACATCCTGCTTTTCGTCTCATTATATGGTGTGAGTTAAATGTATTTTTAAAGACGTTTTCATGGATTTTACCTCATCCCCATCTAGCCAGTAGCTGCCTCCTTGGCAAATCTCTCAGTTATGCAAGAGAGAGTAAAGAGGCTGGGAATTGAAAGCCTTCCGAGGTGCAGGAGGAGACATGAAAGAAACTGAAGAGCCTACTTGGAAGAGAAAAGGGCTAAAGGGATGATCTGAACACAAAATGGACTTTTAAGACTTTCTGTTAATAACCTGACTGTTCCTCTATATAACATACATGCATGGAAACTAAGAATAAAAATGAAAATAAAATTTGTACCTAGTTACATTAAGTGGTATCCCTGATTCCAAGAGCGGTTGAACTTATTTCTCCGTCATCAGGAGCTCTGTGATACTTCACAGTGTTGATGTGCTTTGTTTTCTTTTCACCCAGCATTTCCACTTCATATTGGACTACATAAAGAGAAAACTAAGAGCAGGGATATTGTTAGTAACAACTGGGGATTAAAGAACACTAAATAAACATCTCGTTAACACAAATTAATTGAAGAGAGAAAACAAACAAAAGGATTGAGAAAACCAAATAGATGAGCAATTAACCATTTCACAGTAACAAAGACCAAAATTCCCAAACTAATGAGAAAGACCTACAGCGCCTATTCACAAACTTTCTGTATCATACAGTTCAGCCTGAATCCCTTATCCCATGGATATTTCTGAAAAATAAAGCTGCTGTTGCACTGCTGCAGTTCCTTGGCAGACATGAGCCATGCTCTCTCCATGCACAGCAAATCCTCAGACACAACTGGAAGCTTGTGCCAAGAGAGCAGCCCTCGATCTCAGCCTGCAGCATTTCATCTACCCTTCAGCCTTACAGCCTCTACTGCCTGCAGTTCATTTCTTGCAGCCTTGTGCAGACCTGCAAGGGTCTCCAGCTGGGTGCCTTGCTTATCAGTCCACTGCTGAAAGCCCCAGCATACCTCAAAAGCCCTGAAACATTTCTGAACAAATTACCTATTCTTTCCTATCCTAGGAAAGGCTGGATTTTGTACTAGTCATTCCCCGTCTTTTCCAATCATCACATGTTTTCCCCAGATTTGGCTTAAAGTATTTTCAGTCTTGAATTTTTGGATATTTTCTCTCCTTATCTGCTTTTTTAGAGCCTTTCTTTTTCTAGTGATGGGCATTGCAAATCCCCAGAAAATGCTGCCTGGGAAAACCAGAAATCCACAAAGAGAAACTGAAAACAGCAAATCTATGCAGCCTCCTCTTACTGCACCTCTTCCCAGCTGAGTGCTTGGCAGAAAGTGGGCTCAGTGATACACTCAGATTTGGCATCTTCTGCCTTCTGGCAAAGATCTGCCCTTGCTTAGCACTGTGTGTTCAAATCTCTGTCCTTCAAAGGTCAGGTAGGAGTTTGAGATGATGCAGAAACATTCAGTGCAATCATCCATAAACTCAGATATTTTATCTAAAACACTCACATTTTTTACAATATTTGGTCATGATGCCTGTTTAGCGACTTCGATGCTTTTACTTTGAGATGCATTATTATCACAGTTTAAAAATGAAAATGTTTATGCTTTTACAAATACCTGAATAATGAATCTACCCCTATCCAACTGTTTAGCTGAGGTTATTTTAACTACCTTCAAATCGTTATTTAAATATCAAGGAGAGGGAAAACTGCTGTCAGTCTGGTTTGTAAAATGTAATGTTAGGGGATTCTGCCTTCTAGTGGACAGTTTTAAAATTTGTGTCATATTTTGTAGGTACACTTACAATTCATTCAGCAGTAAGAATATTGTACTGCTAGCATTTGCGAGTAAGTTTGAGGACAGATATTTCTAGGGAGGGCTAAGGCAGGTTCCTTTAGCTTTAGAAAATGACAGTATTTTGCCAATGCAAATTTCACATCCTTGACTGCAGGTATGCTGAGTCATTCAACAGTGTGTTTTATCTTTTAAATTTTGCTTGTATATTAATTTCATTTTCAGTAGGTTGTTTTATTTTGGGTTTTTTAAGTTTCCTGCATTACATCTTTTAATTTGAGTACCTTTGTAATAATTATTGTAGAATGAAAAATAAAATTAGTAAGAAAAATATTTCATTTACTTTATGCATGAGGTCTGTTGGCCACTCACTGCATATAGTAAAAGGGCAATAAAATTAAAATAAGTTTTTAAATGGAAATTAGTCCACAAATTAAAAAAATCATATGATAAGTTATTTTAGTACAATCAGTCTTCCAGAGAATATCATGCAGGCTGTGAATTTTCTTTAAAGCATTGTGTCAGGTTTTAAAGAACAATCCAAAATGTTTCTATATATTTTTATTATATTTACCTTTTTACCAATTCCACTATAGCGACTTTTCGGTTAGATTACAGTGAAGTGATAAAAATGGAGTCTGTGTCTTACTCCTGCCATTTTTTGCAAGGCTTCTCTTTCCAGCCCTCTTCAATTCAGGTGCTTCTCCCTTGAGCCAGTCAGCAGGGTGTTGTCTTTAAACTGATCTTTCCTTCGCATCTTACCATCTCCATAAAAATTTTTCAGATTCTTTCTGCAAAATTTTTTAAGGTATAATGATCCCTGTCTAGCTATAAAGCTAAAACTCTCCAGGGCTCAGTATTTTGTATCTCAATTATTACAACTTTATTTTTTCTCAGACTTTTATGACCATAATCTGCCATGTTAATATCCTTTCAAAAGCTTCGATAAACAGGTTTTCCTTTCACAACTTCTTTGGGTTGTCATCTCCTATTTTGTATCCCCACACTGGGCTCTCCTTGTTCCATTTTGTTTCCGTTTTTGTTCTGTTTTACGTAGCATAAGCCATTTGTTCTCAACTTCCAGGTTTTCCTTAGACTATCCTATGCAGAACATCTTAAGACAGCTGAGGGGCTGACTCCCACTTCTCCTTGCCCAGTAATGCCATCCTTCATTGCTTGGTGGTTATATTTCCAGTCAGGGATCTTTGTGCTGACATCACTGCAGTCCTTGACTGGGAGGTGTTTTCTATACAGACCTGGAAGTTGCCTCTATCTATTCTTCCTTTAAACATTCTTTTGCTGTGTCACACACAAAACAAAGTTAGGAATCTTGATCACTACTTATCACACTGTTTGCTTGAATTCTTTTTACCACCTATTTGTTTCTGTCCTTTTTTTAATCTTGTCATATATAGGCATATAAGCTTAAAAAATGGGACAGGAGTTCTTCCTCTGCTTATTTGGTTTCAAACTTGTAGAAAACCTAGATGTTTCATCTAAGAATAAAATTCCAACTTTTACAGCAATGAATATAATAATTTGCATTCTTGCAATGACAGAAATGCTAAAACTTGTAAGCCAAAGTCTTTGAGAGGAGAGTATATTTTATTTCCACAGTGTATTGTATGATTGTAGTACTGTGCTGATTTACATGATTCATCTGGGATAATAGGGTAAATAGTCCTATTTTGATGGAGAGGAAAGCTGATATACGGAACCAGAGTGTGTAGGCAACAGGATCAGCATTAGACCTTCCTTTAGCTAAGGCTCGTTCTCAGATTTTCAGACTCTTGCATTTAGCAGTTTAATATTTCTGAGCTCTGGTACTTAGAAGTGTTAAGTCACTATCTGAGGTCAAATACAAATGCTGTTGCTTCTGCATAGTAGTTTATCAGAAGTTAATTGTTTATCACTGAAGCTTAAGTGGGTTCCTTATCTATCAATTAACTAAATATAAATTACAAAAATAGTTTATCTTTGCACAGATAGGCATGTTTGAACTTCATTATTTTAAGCAATTTCAGCATTATACAATGTTTAGCTCACAAGTTAAAAGTAGCTCAGTTATTCTGAAAAGTGATTTATAAAAAAGCCCTTTACATTTTTTTCCCCAAACATTATTGCAGGGCAGATGGTTCAGATTCTGTTGTTTAGCCACCCTCATTCTGCACTCTCTATCTTTAGCTTGCACACTCTATTTTGACGCTATCACATCTTTGTGTTTGTTCAGGCTTTTCACTTAAGGCGGTATTTCAAAAGAAAACACTGGAATTTTCCTTCAAAAGGGGGTAAAATACTTTCACCTTGTAGAAAGGACATGTTCCTATTTAAAAAAAAAAAATAAAAAAATAAGAAGCCTCCTCTTGGCACAGGGCCCAGCAGTACTATCAGCACAATCTAGCAGCTTGGCAGCTTTGCGTGTTGCCATGTTCCCTTGAGAATTAGAGGGAAGCTATTCTCCGCCTTTTGCGAGCCTGCCAAAGGATGGAGGACTTTGATCCTTCAGGGTAATGTTAGAGTAGTTCTCCTCCCAGGTACTAAATGTGACAAAGCACATTTAATTTATTTGCCTTTTATATAAACATTGAATGTTTTCAGTGAGAATCCAAAGATTTAGTGTAGGCCTTTTGTTAATACCAAATAAACCTTACTTTCTTGGTTAGACAGGATCATTGATGAGTCTCAGGTTAGGGAATTTTACCTTCAGAGTACTAAAAACAGAATTGAAAAATTGATTAAATAGTAACTTGGCTTACTTTAATACACGTATTTCATACAATGTCAAACAACATTTTTTTATATTTGTAAGATTTAATCTTTCAAATTTTGCTGTAAGTTTTTGGGTTTTCCACAAGTAATTTTTTAACTTTTTTTTCAGGGTTGATATCTTATGCAGAGTATCTGTTTTTGCTGACAATTCTTACAAGTAAGTATTACATATTTAAAATACATAGGCACAAATACTCAGCTACTAACAGTCTACCAGGAACTTTTCTTCTGATATTTTTTAGCTTCTAAATTTCTGTATTATAGTAAAATATAAAAAAACTACTGTATATAGGATGACAATGCAATAATATAAATGGGCATCAGTGTCATCATTGGCCCATAGCAATACTTCAAAAAATCATGGTACTCCCTGCACAATGGGATCAGAAAAGTGTTTTGAAATCCTTTGAGAGGATTTACAGAACCACATAATAAGGGGAAGAAGAACTGGATGGGAAGGTAAATAGTTTTTCTTCTGGATAGTAGTTTTAGTCATTTTGGACAATGAGACATTAGCAATATGGCTCATGCTGGGGTGGGAAAATTGTTATAGTGTCTCAAAGATTGTTGCCTGTTTTTATTGTGTTCAGATTTGCAATGGATGCAATACACGAAAAGCAGAATTTTTCAGTGACTTTTTGCCTGACTTTTAAGTCCTTTTTCTTTATGTTCTGTTCCTTTTAACTTTATTTCCTTCAAGAATTGTTCATGTATGTCTTCCCCCCCTCCTTTGCTTCCTTCCTTTTTCTCTCAGGCACTTTTTTTTAAAACAACTTTTGTTTGGTATGTACTTTATCTACAAGCAACAGGCATTTTTTGGTTTTATGCATGGAAGTGATCTGTAATTGTCTGGTACTTACTCTGAGCCATGCTTGCCACCCCCCTGTTTTGTTCTGATGTGTAGGTGATGCTTAAAAATACCAAGATTTGCATCAATAAGCATTACATGGCAAGACCCCTAGAGCAGTAGTGAAGTAGTCCATATGCATGTCCATGGAATAGTCCACAGAATAGTCTACATGCAGTCTTGTTCCACTGACTTAGACAGGTCTAATATTTTCAGCAAGGAACAAAGTCAGGCATAATAGATTTATTGTGTCAGTGCATGAGGAAAGGAGAAAAGGAGGAAGTCACCTCTTCCCTGACAGACTCTAGAGGCATGACTCTCGGATGACCCTCCATCACTTCCTTGGCTGCAAGGTCCATGGCTGGGCCTGAAATAAATTGACAAATTTTCCTTGCTCTGGAAATTCACCCTCTCATGGTGTAGTATGAACAAGTAATTTTGGTCTCCAGAGAGTGGAAAGAGTATGTCCAGCCTTCCTTTCATTACACACCTCTTGCACAGTTCAAGTGGCCCTTCTGCAGCTTACTTCATTTCTCAGCAGAACTGCATTGGTTCCTGTTGCACAGCATGAGGGGTGGGTAATCTCTTTTGGCAACTTCAGCTTACACAGTATTAAATTATATGTGTAGATATGCATTAAGCTTTAACACACAAATATGAATACTGATTTTAAAATATTTGTTGCAACTCAAAAAAGAGGAATTTATGTTAAAAAAGGACAACCATGACAGCCAAATTATAACTTCAGAAGACTACCTTAAAGTTGCAGAAATAGGTGCCAAGGATTCTATTTCTTTAGAAATTTATGGCAGCTGAAATTGAATTCATGCTGAATTAGTGGCTGAAGCAATTAGAAAATTGAGGCAGTATCAGAGCAAATTGTTCCACTTCTCCAGACAATCAAATAGCATTATTTTTCACAGAATTTGTATAGGAATGTATTGAAATGCAAAAACAAAGGCACCTTTTGATACAGGATAAAAATGCAGTGGTAATGTTGCTGCTTTGGTTACACAGAGGGTTATCATACTGATCAGTTTGAAAGCAAATGTCAACAAGTGTTAGTGCCTCTGTCTTTACCTAACAAGTATCCCCTGTCAGTCAGCCCTGAGTTACACAACCTGTCTCTCTCACTAGTGAGAATTAATGTGAGATTTCTTAAAGCAGGCATCAGTATTTAAATTACTTCCGAATCACTAGCTGAGCAATAGGGAAAGGGAAAAAGAGTCATCAGTTCCAGGACACTGCTGACCAGACAATGCTGCCTGTCATACAAAATCAGTCTGTAAAAATGCTAAACTTGAAAATGTAATTTTGTGACAGACAAAGGTTTTATTTTTTCATTTTATTTCATTTCTAGCAATAGGTTAATGCATCCCTGCCTGGTGAAAAAGCCCAGGAACTGAAGTTGTCACCTTTACTTAGAGCTCTGTTTCAATTACCCAGTCACATGAATTGGCAGCTTGGTCAACACAGGAATATTAGGAGAGGAAGCACCTAGGTCTAACCGGCACTCACAGCCAGGATGAAGCTCTTCTGTTCAGAGTTTGGAATTTTGCCTGATTCTAATTAAATACAAATATATCTGTGGTAGTCTTTGAACTATGCTTATTTTACGAACACATACCTTTGGGGTTACATCATATCAGATAAGTATGTCATCTCTGAACAGTATAAGCAGCTTTAGGTCTATATTTTCACTAACAGCTCTCTTATCTGAAAATTGGAACACAGATGGTATGAATTGCTATTAAATACATCAATTACTTTTGTTCTCTAAATATGTTATTGGATAGCCTTTTCTTGCTTTTATACTAGTAACACAAATTTAGCATGTGGCATTTCCATGGAAAGGAAGCCAGTTTTGAGTATTAAATCAACCCAGTTGCTGGGGACAGCTCTGCTGTGCAGATTGCAACGGTATTTATAAAATACCCCTGCATCACAAGATTGCTTCACATAGAATATTAGTTAACTGCTGAAGATGTAGTTATTTCTAAAATAGTACTTTCTTTAACCATCATGTTATGACTTAAAAGGAGTGGGATATTTCTTTAACTTGTTCCCTTTGCAGAAAGATTCGCTAAAAAAAAGGCAAGGCTTAAAACTTTACAGAATGTAACTAGAAGAATATATTTCCAGAAGCAAAACTCTGAAGGCATTAGAGTTTTTTAGAGATAGTGCTTCGCTGCCCTCGTGAGTCCAGCACTGTTCTTGGAAGCATCAATATTTTCCAGAGACAATAAGGCTATGACTTTCATATTAATGCCTGACATGACTGGGTGGTGGCATTAATTCACCTGCTCCAGAGATTACTGGGATAAGGACTTGCTACCACAGTGCACTGTAGCTACATTTCAGCAGCATGCTGCTCCTGTGTGGCTTGCTAATGATCAAGGCCACCTCCTTGTGGAGCAAGCAATGTAAGATCAAGAAATTGTGGGAAGGAGCTCAAAACATACCACACTTTTATAGTGTCTCATTACATTTTTGTGTTGAAAAGTCCACTCAGTGAAGGAAATACAGGGTAAAATTGTGTAGAATTCCTGAAAAAAATCAGTTTGATAGGAATCACACAAAATATGCTTATGTCAGAAACAGCCAGAAAGAGTTTTCTACTCTTCTCTCCAGAAAAGGAGCTCTTCTAAACAAGGCAGAGCTAGACTGCAGAAGTGACATGGGATTATAGATACATCCTTTGAGAATTCCTTAAGACCTGGCCAGTAAGGGCTACAGTATTTTTGTGGGGGTCAGATTGACATTCATGGCTCATACACGGCATTTCTTACTTTACCATTGTGTTAATTATCCCTTGAAATAATAGTAAAAAGTTGTTTAAACAGTTCACTTATAATGGAAGAGGTGTGTATGGTTCACTGGAAATACCATGTGTGTACAAAACGATGGAGAACTAAACCAGAGTCAATACTCATTTTATATTTGGTATTTGAGTCCTAGTGTGTGATATTTTCAGTTAAGTTCTTTTGCAATTGTTGCAGAACCCCAGACTGGACTTCAGATTGCCTTTAAAATGTTGGATGCAGATGGCAATGAACAAGTTGAAAAGAAAGAATTCTTTAAGGTAGGTGTATTTACATATGTTTTAATTTTAAAGCATTTAAATAAATCCATGGGTTATATTTGCTCACTGAAGATTCATTAAAATCATCAAGCTATTTTTCAGTCCAGTCTATGATCACCTGCTTACTAAAATATTTTATATATAAGGGGCACATACTGAAGTATTGGGATATCATCATAACTGAATCCACTTCTATAAATGTTACCTTAGAATTGTAAGTAAATATCTGCTACTGGAAAGGTAGGAATTAGTGTATATCCCTTAATCACATGAGCTAATTTAAATAATCATCTGGAAGAGTCTTTTGTTTTCTAAGTATGTTGAATAATTTCTTTAATTCACCATCCTCATTTGGTCTTTATTAATTTGGCTTGCTGTTGCAGAAAGGTTTTTATGAATTCACACTTTGAACAGCAACAGCACTTTTTTTCCTATATTACATCTAAATGGCGAGAGGAAGGTAGATGCTTCAAAAACTAAGGGAATCTTGCTCTGATGTTTTTAAGAAGAATAGGCTTAATTATATAGCTTATTCAACTTTTAAATACTTAACAGGAGACTAACTAAGTACTTCTTGTCAAAATTTGAATTAACAATCATCATTTTTAATAGAATCACTCAACTTATTTCAGATCCTCAGTTCATAGTGGACGTAAGTGGAGAGACAATTTTATAAGAAGCTGACATGGCTACTACAAGTCAAATTATTTTCTGCCAGTAGGGTGACGTTAAAGCTGATCATGAACTCACATCTCTAGAAAACCTTAAAATCTAAAACTTTTTAAATTAAATGTACCTGTTGATAGAGAAATTAGCAAAAATTTATTTAGGTGAACTTCATAGCCTTAAATTCTGAATTAATGATAGAATAGCTGTTCACATGTTTTGCACTGGTCACTTTTTTTTTTTCAGTGAATTCTTAGCAAGGTTACAATTGATAAATCATGCTTTAAATCTGTTTTAAAATGTTGAAAAAATACTTCTAGACTTAGTAATACTATTTGAAAATAATATTTGAAATTAGATCATTTTTCAGGAATGTTCCCAGAAGCCTCTAACTGAACTTGCAGGTACCCTTGGTTGTGGTGTAACCCCAGCCAGTAACCAAGCCCCAGGCAGTTGCTTCTTTCTCTCACCAGCTGGATCAGGGAGAGAATCAGAAGGGTAAGAGACGGAAAACTGATGGATTGAGATATAGACAGGTTAATAGGTGAAGCAAAAGCTACGCACACAAGCAAAGCAAAACAAGGAATTCATTCACTGCTTCCTATGGGCAGGCAGGTGTTCAGCCATTCCCAAGTGAGCAGGGACCCACCACGTGTGATGGCAACTTGGGAAGACAAAAGCCATCGCTGTAAATGTCCTTCTCTTCCTCCTTCTTCCTCCCTTTTTGTACACAGAGCATGATATCAGATGGTCTGGAATGTCCCTTTGGTCAGCTGGGGTCACCTGTCCTGGCTGTGTCCCCTCCCAACCTCTGATGCACCCACAGCTCCCTCCCCAGCTTGACAGTACAAAAGGAGAAAGGCCTTGGCTCTGTGTAAGCCCTTCTCAGCAATAACAAAAACATCTCTATGTTATCAGTGCTGTTCAGCACAAATCCAAAACACAGCCCCACACCAGCCAGTGTGAAGGAAATTACCCCAGCCAAAAGCGGCACAGCCCTACACCCATTTGTTGCTACACAAGATCTTTTAATTTTGAAGAATTTATTCTGTTAAACTGTTAGTTATTCTGCTGATTAAAAAGAAATCAAATTCTAGTGAAGCCTATATTTTTAACCTACTAAAACAGGTGCAATCATAGTGAATGGTTATCAGACTAGCAGTGCCCTGATTACCAAAGTAAGTCTATTATGGCTGTATTATTCATCTGCAAAACAATGTTACAAGTGAAAGTAACTCCATGAACATGGGTGAAGGTGTTCATCTGGTAGTACCTCTGTACCAAAATGCAACATTAGCAGTGCTTTTTTTAAAAAGGTACTGCCAATTAAGCAAATAAGAAAATTCTTACAGAAATACAGCACTGCTCTCTTGGGGAGATGTGCAACATGTTATATATTTAGTACCATTACCCATTTCAGGTAATTCTAATTGAATCAGACAGTACAAACAACAGAAAGTCATCAAATGCAGAGGTGAAAACATTATATAAATCATTAAAAATAATTTGATTTCTGTTGAGACAATCATGTTAAATGAAAATTATTCTAGTTACATAGATTGTTACTTTGCATTTCCTTTTTGGACTGTATTGATAAAATAATATCGAGTGGTAAAAAAACCCAACATATAAATTACTGTCAACTCACAAGAATAATTTCATTCACATAAGTCCCAAAGGATGCAAGTTAGTCAGAGGATGAGTTTTCTCTCATGACTATTTTCTTAATATTTACAAAGGAGACTATTTTCAAGCAAAACTTTATAGATTTGGTTTAAAAATAAAATTCTTGGAATGTAAGAATGTGGAAATAACTGTGCATGTGTTAATTTGTATACTCTAGCTTATATGCATCATAGAAAGTTTCTAGATAGCTAATAAATCAGTAAATTGTGTGGCTAATCTATCATTTGTCTTGCCCCAACTGGCAACATAGGAAAATATATCTGAACTACTCTATAGTGATTTCCACACTATATTTGATGATAACATCAGGAAATGCATGTAAGGAAAATGCAGTGGAAAAGAATAGTGAAGAGGCAGTAATCAGGAGGCAGTGTCTGTAGGCAGGGCACAATGGGGAAAAAAATTTTATTGCTAGTTCATTCTCTTGCTTTGTCACTTGTACTCCCCACTTCCCATCATTATCTACTGATTAGACATCTATGTTTGTCTGTGTTGTCTGTCCAACTGCTGATCTAGATTGTAGAGTCTTTGAGGTAAGAACTTGCCTTTTGGTTTGCAAAATGTCCATCATTCTTTGAATTGTGTGTATCTCAATTCTCACGTGTTCCTGGATGAACAGGCACAAGATGTGTCAAGCAGGTCATTCAGGAAAGGGAGACAAGCAAAAACTCCAACCCCAGTCCTCAGTGCCTGCATTATGTGATGGGATATAGGGTGCTCAAACCTGTATGGATCAGGCACTTCAGGAGTGTGACATGCAGAATTTCCCAGTGTTCTCTGCTAACAAAAATGGATGTTTGGGAAAGCAGATCTTGAATGCAATCCCATGTTTTCAATAAGAGAGTCTATCTTGTCCTCCGTAGCCTTTCCATTTCAGTGCACATTTTCCTCATTTCCAGTAAAAGTCTCTCCCTTCACAGGGATACTCTTGTTCTCTCTCCTCCCCATTTCTTTGTGTTAAAGCCAGTGTAATTCTGCTTCATCCACATTTCAGTGGTAAACAGTCATAGTACAAGAGACATTCCAGTGTTAGGACCAAGAGGGTTTTGTTGCTTTGCCCTGCAACTCCAGGGTGAAGAAGACAAGGAAGAAATGGCATGTTCACAGATGCTAGTTGCCACTGTTTACTCAGCCCCTGCCAGAGTGCAGAATCATTTCTCAGAGCCACGTTATCTGCATCTCTGTGAGGACCGTAAGCTACTTCCATGAACTCTGCACTTCCAAGACATTCACTTGAGACTTGGTGAGGGGGATTTCCAAGCACATAATAACCCATGCACATTAATCTGAGACCTCCCACCAAGAATAAGGCTACCAAAGTTCCCAAAATTCCCAAGCAAGTAAGGAATTTCCCTAACTCACTAAATCTGTCCTGATTAAAGATGTCTAAGTAAAATTAATGACAGTTCAAAATTATTGGGAATAAAGGCAGAGTAGCTCTGATGGCACATGCAGGAGCTATATGGCTTAGACTTTCTAAGTAGACTGTCTTATACACTTCTGCTGGAGAGCAGATACCACAAAATAATTGTAGAGCTTCATCTAGGGCTGCATGAGCCAGCACTCAACACTCAGCAGTTGTGGCACAGAATACTTCTGTAGTCTTAGAGCATCCACAAGCACTGATCTCTCTCAAGCAACTGGAAGGTGCAAAAACACCCTTTTTTTTTTTTTTTTTTTTTTTTTTTTTTTTTTCTTTTTAAGACTGACATAGTCTTTGTGCCAGAAAGGCTTATTCAGAACAGATTACTTCTGTCTTTAGTAAAGGCTTCACTTGTGCATAATAGGTCTCATTATCTTTGAATTAGCTATTATTAGAGTGAGTGGTAAGCAGATATAAATATTAAATACAAATAAATGTTACATGGAGGAGTCCATTTCTTCAGGGCAGAATTCTTCTCCCTCTGTGAGTAGTTGATGCACTGTGCTGGAAAAAAATCAACCAACTTCTGGAAATAGTTTCAAGCACTCTTAAGAATTTACACACAGTGTAAGGAAACAATAAGTGAAATCTTTCAGAATAGTGAAAATAATTGTACTGTGTGTCTGTGCTCTTCAGTAGCCTCTGCTATTGTAATCTACTCTACAGATTAGAAATTTTGGATTTAGAAATAAAATCCAAAAGAGAAAAAAATACTTTTTTTCTCCTCTTTGGAAAGTATTTACCATTTTATTCCTTATGTGTGATCAAATGATTAATTTTTCAGGTAAGAAAAAATGTGATTTCTCAGTGAGAGTATGGATAAACAGTTGTGGTTTTACCCAGAACTCTATAATGCTATTTTGCTATGAAGAAATTCATAATGTTTTTACTATACTAGTCATTTGTTTTGTAAATGATCAAAAATTAAGATAATTTGGAGGAACAAGTGGCGTTTAATTGCCTTGTTTTGTGGCATTTCTTTTGGTAAATACTATCAAGACATGCAATTTTAAATTCATAATAGAAAGTAAGCATCCTGAGAAACTAAAAAAATTAGGATAAAAAAACCCAAACAAATCTAGAACAGGTGAATTACTCCAAATTTAAAGATTGAGGGATGACTTTGGCAGCACAAATGGATAGCACGTTTTTCTTACTATTTACAAGACCATACTGCTTCTCTGAAGAACAAAAATTTAAAAACAAAGGTTAGAACTAAAAACTTCCCAGAATAATTAATGACTGTGGAAATTTGGTAATGAACTTTTTCCCAGTTGTAATGAGCAGGTTGAGGAATCATTCAGAAATGTTTGAAAAGCAAACCAGCAGTTTTTAAATGTTTAAGCTTTAAAAGCATCTTTCAAAGCCTCCAAATCCAAAGTGATTGGTGTAATTCCATATCTCTACCTGAAATGTATTAAGTCCCTTGTTCTTTCATTTCTGCTGTCCTTTTGAGGATCCATGCAAGTGTCTGAAAGGTTCTGTTTTTAAATGTGTTTCTTTTCATTAATTCTAAAAATCTTCTTAGCTAATACATTCAAGATTAATTTTTTCTGGGGGTAGAGGGGAAAACTCAAACCACATTCTGCCTAATGCAAGTTCTAAAAAAAATTATTACTTATTTCATTAAATTATTCTTTATTGTTAGTTGTATAGTAACTCATTTGAATGTGAGTAAGGTATGTTTTTCATATCCAGAAGATCATGTTTATAACAGAACTGTGTGAAACAATCTAGAAGGACAGCATGAAAATCAGGATAATTTTTTTTTCTGGAATGATCCTTGATGTTATGCCCCAGACTTTCAAAATCTTCTGAAGTGAAAACTAAGCTTCTGGTGCAAGAAAATCTCCTCTAAAAATAGAGGAAGCACTGGGCTGCAAGAGATAAATTCATGTTTGGTTATATTAACCACAGTAGATAAGACATTCTTAGAAAAAAGTGTGTCTAAATAGCAAAATATCCTCAAGTATGCAAATACTTTGTCATGACTACAGAACCTTGCAGAAATGTATAATGAAGAAAAGGTGCAATTAAACCAAGGTTCAGAAAAAGAGGACTCTTAAAAGATCAAATTTGTAATTTTCCTGTTCTCATGTTTCAACAAATACAGCTACAGAGAATCATTGGGAAGGAAGATGACTTGAAAGCAGCTGGAGATGAAACCATGCTTCGGGTATGAAATAGAGATATATTTTCCTTACAAAAACATTGTCATGTTTCCCATGAACTTTGTTTTTTTTTCAGAGTTTTTAGATAAATATATAAGCCATAGTGCTTTAATTAAATGAAAGGGTATTTGTCAACTGCTTTCTAACTGGAAAAGAGAAATATTAGTCATTTCTCAGCCTTCTGATGAAATGGATGCAATCAGTGTGTTTCAATACTGTGTACTCACTTGCTGATTGGTTTCCATGAGCCTCTCTTTCAAAGTAACTCTCTTCTGTTAATGAATATCTCAGAAAGAGCTCCATATTGCCATAGGAGAATAGAAAGCTTTCCAAATCGATAGCGTAAGCTTATCTAAGTGCTGCTGTTGTAGTGATATCAGCTTATTCTGAGTTGGTTTGAAATGTGGTTATTGTCACTGAGATGACAAAGGCAAGGATTACTTTAGTTAAGTCCACTTCCTGAAAGAGACAACATAGATGCAGACCAGAGGAAACAATCCTAGTGTATGATCATCCAGCTGGGAAAGAAGTTTCACTGTTTTGCGGACCACTAGCAAATTGTAAATATATCTCATCAACAAGAGGGACAGGTAAATTTCTGCTCTCTCCTGTTTTCCCCTGAATCCAGCCACCTGCAACCTCCCTTCTTCTCAGGTAGAGTCTCTCCCTGAGTCTGTAGTCAGCACAGAGACGAGATATTCTGTAGCCTCGGTGATGAAAACAGAGAGGAGGAATCCTGACCATACTGAAAACATCCTCAGAAGAAGCGGATGAACCATGTCTAACAACTGATGGAACAAATAAAAATGGCCTCAAGTTGCACCAGGGGAGGTTTAGATTGGACATTAGGAAAAAAATTTTCTCTGAAAGTGCTCAAGCACTGGAACAGGCTGCCCAGGGAAATGGTGGAATCACCATCCCTGAAAGTGTTCAAAACACATGTGGATGTGGTGCATAGAGGCATAGGACTTGGCAGTACTGGATTAATGGTTGGACTCAATAATCTTAGAGATCTTCTCCAATATAAATTATTTTGTAATTCTAAAGAAGAGGAGAGTATGGCTGGGTTGTCTCCATGTATTACTAAAATTACATCAGCAACTTGCTTTCAGCTGTAAACTTTCAGTTTACACTGGGCATGAGGCAGTGGCTGCTCATGTTGGAAGCATTCAATAAGGAATTTATACAGGGCTCTGCTTTGTAAATCATGCATCAGCAGTTTCTACAAAGAGTTGCTCATGTTCTTTACTTTTTCATATGCCTGAGGAAAAAGTGGAAGTGGCTATTGCTGACACCCTTAAAATTTATTAGACATAAACTGTCTTCTGATTCACAAAGGTTTTCCTTCCTCAGTGTATATTGAAAGTTCAGTTAAAAATTGTTTGACTGACAAGCAACCATCTCCTTTCTTGAATCTTTTCATCAGTCACCAGATTAAAATAGCTAGGATTAATAGGGTTGTCTGCTCCTCAAAACCTGTTTCAATTGAGACTTAAATACCATGACAGTGAAAGAAAAAGGATCTTTATTCTGCATGAATGCACAGCTATAGTATAAAATTTCCAGAGAAACTTTGATACAGTTGGACAGATTAGTTATAAACACATAAGCTTATTGTGAGCTAATTAAATACCTGAGCTGGAATGTCTCTGTTTTGTTTTTGTCTTGCTTCAAAATTTCTCTTCAGAGTTCTCCATTGAGAAAAATCGGAAGTTATTGTAACCAGAAAATGTTATTTAATACAGTTTCTTAGAAGATTATAAATGGAATTCTAGTACAAAAGAAGAATTAAATAGCTTTGGGGAAGACAGCTAACTTGAAATTATTCTTGTCTCTGTATTTCTTCTTGGCAAAATCCAAATTATCACATTTCTTTTAATTTTTATTTTCCTTCCTGTCTTGTTTTCTCACCAAAGAAATTGATTATCTTTGTAAACAGTGAGTCTAACTATACAGTGTAGTCGTTGAATATGTTTTTACCCTTTATTTTTTATAACTATGGCAGTCATAGTATTACCTTTAAGCAAAACAAATGAAGCATAAAAATATGGGATTTAAGTTGATTATGTTTTTTGAAAGGCGAGATACTGCAACAGAATTTTGGTTTCTGGAATGGTTCTTTATTTCCACAACTCAATTTGTATATGACTTTGCTATTTTTTCAGAATAAACCCAGTCCCTGACACCAGATGGCAAATGTCACTAACCTAGGAAAATACAGTTTAAATGGTAGTCTGCAGCTTTGTTTATCCAGCAGGTGTATCCAGGTGTCTTCCCTGTACAGTGTATAGATAAAGATCCCAGTCATTTATTTATTTTATGGTGATACCACTTAATACTCACTGAGTTACTGTATAAGGAAAATCAGTTTGCTTTTCTCTCAGGGTGCTTGTATCTCTGCCTTTTTGTAGACACTTATATGCCTAAAATTCAAATTTTAACCACTTAGTAGTGGCCCTTGAATGGGATTACAGTGGAATTGGTTATCCAGATGCATATTTTTCAATGGAGGGCACTTTTTTCCCCCAGTATTATAATTGATGGTGGAAGAGAAGAAAAAAAAAATCTGCCTAGCCTTAACTGGCTTCATTTTTTGGGAAGTTCCGTGCTGAAGTTTGCAGAGCAGGCAGTCTGGCAGTCTTGTAGCAGAGGTGCCCATGGTGAGGAGAGCTGCAGGCAGACTTAAAACACTGGAATCTGGTTCCTTCCAATCAGACTGGAGAAAATGGTGCAGAAGTCAGCAGAGGCAGTGACTGCCTCAGCTCAAACACCCTCCCCATAAGCCAGAGGAAATGCTCCATCTGGCTTCCTGGCAGAACTGTTCTTCATATGGAACATCCAGCTGAACCTAGTGACCATGGTTCATGGAGGAGGAGAGCCAAACTCCCTGCCTGGAAGTGATCTAGATGATAGTAGGAAAGTGCATGAACTAGAAATCTGGTTTAGTTTGAAAAGGTGTTGCCCAGTGAGCAACACTTTTCTGTTACTGCCTTGAGTTCCTTAAAAGGATACTTCATCAGTGTAAGGTGCTTTAGGTTCCTGGTCCTGAAAACAGTGCTAATGGTGGCAAATACCTACTGGACAGACCAGTTGTCTAGGTCAGGGACTTTGCTCTCAGGCCCTTCAATTTAGATTAATGAGTTATCAAGTACTTTCAATACCTCTCATTCAATATGCTTTATGTAATGGATAAACTTACAAATTACTTTTAGCTACTGTTAGAAAAGGAATAAAAATCCAGTGTTCTATATTTGTTCTTGAAATGAAATCAGTGTTGTGAAATGTGTGTATTGTCTCATTTCCAAATGATCAAAGACATGCTTCTGGATTCCCTGGTGAGTACATTTTCATACAAAGTGTGAAAAGTATGATTGGGGATTTTTTTTAACATTTAACTAGTAGTTGGGGACACAGCTACTCATCTCTTTTAAACAGAAAACTTATGAACAGAAATTGAGTCTAACTATATGGAGTGTACTTTTAGACTCACACATGAACAATTTCCTATTATTTGAGTGTAAGTTGTTTTATCCTGTCTACTTCTCTTTTTTCTCTTTTTTTCTTTTTTTTTTTTTTTCCTGTGGTTCTAAAATAAGTAAATTACATTCATCATTCACACGTTTCTCTCTGCTTACCTGGTCAAGACAAGGTTTTACACTCGGACCTTAAGACATTGCAGAATTGTGATGCATGTCCTCAACCACAGGAACTATGCAGGTCATCATAACTTGCCCATCTGCTCCCTGGAATCTTGAACTGGTTTAAAGTTTTCTACCCAGTGCTTCCAAGTCTGCATAGCTCAGTATAACTGAAGACTGCCTAAAACCAAAGGAAGGTGATGTTTGGGACCTGTGCTCTTTTAGTGCAGCAGTGCTCTGTAACAGGGGTGCAACACATCAAATTTTACAAGAATCTAGTCCAAGACTAAAATTAATATCCCTCCCCAAAGATTCTGTTATTAATCTTGTAACCTCTCAGTTCAAATGGAATGCACATTTTTTTTCTTGACCTATCTTCTCCAACATAAATATGTATGTTTTGTGTCAGAAATTTAACACTGAATTCTGATGAAAAGCTTTTAGATACTTTAAACCAAGGAGCAGTGTGGTGCTGTGCTTTGAAGAAAGCTCTCCAGACAGGTAAACCCCCTAAAGAACCAAACTCCCTGACACCAAAATATGAGGCTATTAAAAAAATGCTGGGTCATTTTTTACCTCATGGACAAGGAAATTAGTTTCTTTTTCCATATGATCTGATGACATCGTAACCTCAAGAGAGAGAAAGAAACACATTTGAGCAGGGGCTGGCTGGGGAGTTGGTGACAAGCCACTGGGGCTGTTTTCAGTGCCAAGAGGGTTTGCACATGCTGAGGATGGATGTGCTCGGCCTTTGAGGCCAAGGCTGCCTTGAACAAAAGAGTGGGCTTCATAGCTCATCACACCTCCCAAGGGGGGTCCTCATAATGGAATCTCTTCTTTTAGTGCAAAGTTATATTTTTAAAGTATGCCACAGGAGAGAGGCAGGGCCTGAGTTCGTGTGAGGAGCTGTCCCCAGCTATGTGTAGGAGCTGCTTTTCCAGGCTGCCAGCAGGACATGGGTCAGGCAGCCTCAGGCTTTGCCATTCCCCCACTGCTTGGCACAGTCCACCTGCTCACAACAAGACAAGCTTCAGGCTGTTTCTATTTGGGGCTTAAAGTACCTCCTACAGCATCTACTCCCAGGTTAGTTTTAGCCACGTAATAGAAATAGCACTATTTCAGAGAAGTGGACTCAAAAAAATTGGCAAAGATTTAGTCTTAGCTTTGGAAAGATTTGGGACATCACTAGCAGACAGAAACTAAGGTACCATCCTCCTTACCCAACCTCACTTCTCTGCCTGTTCTTCCATCTACTCACTCTCCTTCTGTCTTAAATGAAAAAAATACTCAATCCAAAATACTTACTAGTTTTACAATTTCTAGTTAAGTAAGACATTGCACAGCAAATACCATCTCTCAGGAAGTAAGCAAGAGAACAAGAAACGAATTGCAGATTTTAATCATGATGAATGCTTTCCAGTCATGCCTCAGGCAAATTCTGCAAGGAAAGGTGGCAAGAATCTAGAGACAGTAAGTCTATTAACATTTCAGATGAGTTTGGAAAATCAGTTAGGTACATTATTCTGAAAATCCCATCTCTCTGTGCGATAAGTTTCTTAGTGGCACTTGTCAGTACTTGCTGCAGTATCAGGTCCTAAATGTCAAAAACTCTGTGGGGAGCTACAGGATTAGGTAGGTCTTTGCCCATGACTCAGTGTTTGCAGCATCAGGCCTCTTATGTTAACAGCCTGTGTAATGTAATAAGGAAATAACTTGTTTTATCTGATCTTGCTTAAAAAGGAATAATTGCATAATTCAGCAGTTCATGATACTTTTGAAAAGTGCAGGAGGCGTTAACATTACTCTGGGAAAATTAGCCTATGTTTGTAATATGTACACACATGTTCATTAATTCATAGACTTGTGTGGCATCAGATTGTGTGGTCTTTGGGATTCTTTGTCTGAACCAATGGACCTTGGAACATGTCTGAGTTCCCCAGTTGTGATACATGTCTTTGCCTAATCCTGTGCTTGGATCAGGATGAAACTCAGACCACTGGGATCCTTTTTCCACTCTGTGCCTCAGCTTTCTGTAAAATGCACAGATCAAAAGGGTTCTATGGTGCACTGTCCCAGGGCCTGAAGTAGCCAGATACACCAGATTACAGACTTTCACTCAGTTTAGATAGTGGCTCAAGTCTACCAGTCTGGTCTGCTTTACAGCCTGGGATTGGGTTACCATTTCATTCTGATTGCCAAGAGAGACATTCCAAGTGTAAGCTATTCTTTTACCCAAGCTCACGAGGGCAAGGTGTTGGAAATATTAATAGAATTCTCATTATCTTCTAACAAGTATTTGTCGTGTCGGTACTAATTTATACAGATCAGCAGCAAAAGCTCCTAATGAATCTGTGGACAAAAAGGAATTATGTACTAACATGTACTTCAATCTAATAGCATTAACTTTAGGAAAAGCAATTTTTTTGAAAATTTACCCTTAAGGTGTAGTCTCTGTGGTCTCCTATTCCATTTTGTGCTTTAAAGAAATGTACTGTTTTGTAGTTTTAAAATATATTTAACTCTCACTAACATAGTGTTTGGACATATGCCAGTTTCACTGTGGAATTTCAACTGATAAAAAAGGTAGCCAGCAAGTAGGTGCATATTTATTATAAATCCTGGGATGGGCTTTGTCATCTTAGATAAGATGAGGCAAGTATTGTTTGTATGCCTTCTTCTAGCTTGTAACTAGAGAAACATTAATAGAAGAAAAAAGCTTCTGCTGTAATAGACTTATTTTTGAAAAGGTTATTTTAAAACTCATAATAAAACTCCAGTTTGTTTTCACTGATTATAATATGGAGTAATTAAATTAGAAGCATTAAATTGTGTAATCATAAATTCAGTTTTTAATATTACATTAGCAAATTTATTCCTTGCATTTTTCAAGTCTCCTTTAAACATGTAAGCAAAACCCACAAAAAGCAGATTACAATCTAGCTGCAGTGAGGGATATGTGGATTCTTCTCTGTTTCTTTTTAGAAAACTTTGCATTTTGATATAAATAGTTTGGGTTTGAATTTCAAATAAGCATACATGAATGTTTGACTTTTGGCTTTCAAAAAAGCATATACCAATGTTTATGCATCAGTCTTCGCAGTAATCTGAAGTGTTTAAATTTCAGAAGGATGGATCTTGTGGGTATTTAAATATTCTTTGCCTGCAATTAAATTATAAAAGTTCAGTAAGTACAGTTTGCATATGGCTTGAAAAGTGTTTTTTCCTAGGTTCACTCATACATAACTCATATCACTGGCATTTGGTGAACTGTAGCTTGTAGTAGAAATGAGGAATGTTACTGCTTTAACTATAAAATAACTGTGTCATGTATGCAGTAAGCATGAAACATGGGGGACTAATGGGGCTTGTTATTGATGATGCTGAAAGCTAAATAACCATTAGTATTAAATCTTATGAATAGACTCTTGTCTTTCATCTTACCTCTTCAACCAGATAAAAGACACAGAGGCTATTTAGATGTCATAAGAATAGTTTGCTGAAATCCCTACAGACTTTAAAAAAAATTCTTTCTTCATGTTGCTTAGTGTTTTGTTGTGTTCCAAGAAATGCCAGTATGCTGGTGCTGAAAGAAGAATAGAGCAGAAATCCAGCATTATGTGTGGGTTTAGGCTTCTTAAAGATTGAGTTGAAATAGCATGTATCCCTTCTCTGCAGAAATTTCTTCTTCAGATATTAAAAATATTTATACAAATGTCCCTGAAAGTTTCCAAGAAGCCTTGTAAGACCATATTATAATAGAGCATTGTCAGTATTGGTTTTTTCCTGGCTTCATTTATTAGACTGTCATGAATGTTTTTAAACGGCTGTAGCATGTTAGCAATACCTAACTAAAAACTTCCTAACAGATATTAACTCTATGTAAGCCTTCTATTTGCCTAAGAATAAAGGTTCTTAAAGATTTAACTCACAACCTTCTCCACTTTAATAATAAATAGAATAAAATATTATAACAAAATGCACTGATGGTGGTTGTAAATCGTTCTTATCTTTCATAGAGAGTATTTAGAAGCAGAATTTATAATACACTGTTAGCAGTTAATATGAAAGAGTTGTTCAGCTCTGAGATCCTATGCGATAGCTTTGGGAACCGTAATTAAATTTCAAGTATCTCTTGGGAAATACTAGTTCAAATAAATATTTTTAGATTCATGGTGAATATTAATGATCATGCAATGACATTGCATAACAATCATATAGGTTTTTTGTTTTATAGGAAACAGAACTGGACAGCTGTGGTGTTAATACCGTGTTGCTGGTACATTTCTTTGGAAAACAAGGAAAGGAAAAACTTCGCTTTTCCGAGTTTTTCAGGTATTCTTTCCAGCTAGGCAAACCTAACAGGAGCCAGTCTTATTCCTACCCCCTGTGCTTTACCCCAACTCTGGCATTTATCTGACATCACACTGAGCTGATTAAGAAAATCAAGCAATGAAGTGGAGATTATTCATGACGTTGCATGATTGAATTCCCTATTTAGCTCCTAGAGTCTGCTGTCTGCAGGAGCTGAGCACCATGATAACTCCTAGCAGCAGTGGGCTGGGAAGGTTGAGATTTCTGTTCTTGGAAGCTATGTGGTGGCATACCTTAAAACAATGTGAATCATGAGTATTTTTTGTGACTAAATCACAAAAAAAGTGACTTCTAATCAATTAAAAAATACTGCCTGAGGTGAGATACCTCCTTTCCCATTACAGCTGTCATGGTAAGCTACAGGCAACTTCTCCACTTGCTGCAAATTCCAGCCCCTGTTGAAATTTTCCCAGTGGTTTTTCCTCTACCCTTTGAACTACTTTTGCAATGAGATTATGCAGATACCAGTTTGAATCTTGACACACATATTGTAGCATGGCATCAAGAGAAGATTACCTACATCAGTATTACCTTTTCTACAAAAATAATCAGTCATTTTCAGACTGCAAAAATAAAGTAGGATAATGTGTTTTGCTTCAGTTTGTATTCAGAAGTGGAGAATGTGTGACAGCCCTCTTAAAAATTAATGTTTTTGCAATCAGTAGACTAAAAAGTGTTTGGCTCCAGTGGCTCTGGTACATACCAGTCTTCAAATAAACAACCTTTCGCTTTTGAAGACCTCAGCTCAATAGGAATCTAAGTGAGTAAAATAAGTTTAAGATGTCTCCAGCTCCCTTTTCTATAAATACCATAGATCCTCTCAATGAAACAAAAGGCAGAGAGCACCAGTAAAAGGTTGTGTTTGCATATACAGTGTAAACTGAAAAGCCTCAGGTTTTAGATAAAATCCTACATTGACCCAATGAGGCATGACATTGATGAAACTATGTACCTTGTACATTCGGAGCGCATAGGTTAAAGACCTTTGCCTGCCACACAGATAGAGGCCTGTAATCAAAATCAAACTCCCACATCTTGCTCTTAAAATTTGTGGGATAAGTGTAAGGTTTAATGCAGGTAATTTTTCAACAGTGGCAGTTATGTTTCGTGGGGCTGGAATGTGCCTCTTTATCACTGCGTAGACACTCCATCTCAGCTGCAACGTGACAGTGGAGTTTGTTTAACACGCAGAAAGGTGAATAAAAGGATCACTGTCTTTTTAACCTCTGCAAGGATATCACCTTTCACATGATTTTATTTGCAAGTAAATCAAGCACATCATTTCTGTGTTCCTATTGTTCAGAGAAAATGTGATTTCTATCTGATGGCCTCTCATAACACTTTACCTTCTGCGGGAAGCTATTGTTGGCTGTTTGATCAAAGTGTCACAGTGTTTTTACAAGAGATGACTGATGAGCTGTACAGACATAGATCATTGTCAAAAGCAGAAAATAATGATGGCAAATGCTTTTATCATTTTCCAAGTTCTTGCCTAGAAAGCTTTTCCATTGATCAGTGTAGTACCTAGTAGAAAGTAGAGGTGATTATGTTTGATTAGGACAAACTAAAACTTGTCACATTAGTTAAGTACACAGATATTGGTGTGCTGCGGAGTCCATAAAACTAAAAAAGAAACAACTCAAACCACCAAAGAAAAGAAAATAAAAACAAAAACAACAACAACAACAACAAAAAATAATTCCCCAAAAAAAAAACCAAGAATGCTTTCATTCTGAAATTTCACTGTACTTACATGGGAGTTCTGAAAGCTGGGACCACTGTTCTCATCTCATTACTGACTTATATTTTCCTCGTGCTCCCTATTTTCAGTTTGTCTGGCATTAAAAAATCCTTTTGTAAGTGTGCAACCATCGCATGTACATGTATACCAGCATTGTACAAGCCTTTTAGCCCACAGTCCAAACATTTTAAAAATGTCAGACAGCCACAGTTCATATACCAGGGCAATTAATTTGCCCTGTTCTCCCTTCTTTGCATTCAAATAGCACAAAGAAAATGGAAACTGTCTACATCTCTTGGGGCAGTGTGAGGCTGATATAAACCAGTTCTTGTGCTTCTTTTCCTACTGCCCTGAGTACAGGAGGCACATTGAGAATAGGGAGGGAAAACAGTCAGGCATCTGTCCCCGGCTGGTGCCTCTTGGGAAATCACAGGTTTTGATACACACACGGACGGTCTTCAGGCAGTGTTTTCATCAAATGTAAAGGTACTTTCAGAGATCTTCAGGCTTCTTAAGGTAGGACCCAGGGAACATGAGTTCAGCTTCAGAATGAGATGAGTTCTTGTTAGTTGTATTGTCTTTAACATAGGACATTATAGTAATTATTAGTAAGAATTTACAATTTCAAAAGTAATTGTTTCCCTGGCAAATGTTAGAAAATATAAATTTCTGGAGTATGTTTAAGTGTATCACAAATAAAGGTGTGGCTTCTTATTCAAATACATCTGGAATAGTATTCTCCTGTAACATTTTAAGAAAATATAGGATAATATGCAGTAAGCCTAAAATCATGTAACAAAAAGGGTAGATTTACTACAGGAAGCATTCTTTCTTCTCAGCAGATCTGATCAAGTTTCTGTTTCAGATGACACCACTCAGTTTTACACCTCAACAATAATGTCATCTTCTAATACCAGGTCCTGTCTTAGAGAATGTCCCCAGAATTCAAGGCCGTTTTATTGTTTTGTATGGATTTCCCCTGGTTTTTAATACAGAAATAATTTTTGGTCTTTTCCTTCTAAAAAAAAAATTTAACTTGTGCTTTAATTTCCAACTATAGCAAACATACTACCTTTTATTCTGAGTAGAAAACTATTTAGTTTTCTATTAACATTAAGGAAATATTTCTTACTGACAGACACTGGGTTGTTTTTATTCCCTGAAAAAAGTCCCTTACTGATCTTGTTTAAGTATGTCTAATCCCAAATAAAAGAGGAGACAGTATTTCACTCCCTAAACAGTTTACGACTGCTGCAATTTTTTTCTGTAATCTGTCCCCGAGCAAGCTTAAATCTCTCACAGTCTCCTTGGAGGAAAAAGAAAGTGCAAAGAGTATGGAATGGATATTCAAAAAACTCTCTGTTGTATTTTTTTCTGGCGTGTCTTACAAAAAAATATTTCCCAGTGCGGTTAAACAATGGGCATCTTTTAATTGTATGAGGAAAATAAACATTTCAGTCCAGTTTATGTCACTTTCTTACCTGATTTCTTGCTTCCAAACATCTGTTTTCATCTGTTAATAGAATAATATACAAGAAATATTCTTTAATTATGGTTCTTTTTTAATTTCTTTATTAGAGTGAAGGTGACAAATTGTATAACCATACACAGATCATGTCTTTTTCCCTACCTATCCTGTTTCTTTCCTTCAGTATTTTGAATTCCTTGATAGATTTTCATTGGAACCTTTCATTTAAGAAGCCAGAATGATCCAGGCTGGACCCCATTGCTAGTGCTGACATTTCTGGGGGGCTGTGGTGTGTGTGTGCCAGTGCATGGATGAAGGATCTTTCAGGTATCATCATCAGCCAGCATGCCGTGCTTCTGCTGTGATGACAGCTTGTCCATTTTCAGTGATTTTCATCTGGGGATTTGGAATTGCTTTGCAGAAATAGAGTATGATTGCCTCCTTACTTGTCTCTGTTCCTACACTTTTATCTATGTGTGTACATATAGAGAGAGCCATAATACATAGAGATTACATCAGGTACAGCCAAGATCAAGCAGTGAGGAAGGGGAGAACAGCAACAAAATCTGTTTTCACGATATTCCTGTCATAACTCAATCTGAATATTTCCCAAATGCTTACTAAAGAGCTTGAGGACAAGATTTTTCTTCCTTTCCTGTGAGCTTAGCAAAAGAGTAGCTTAGTTAGTCTCTACAAAACACTTAAAAACGAAAGTGAGTTGTTTGGTTTGGAAATGCTAAGGACAGTAAATCAAAGAGGGCTTTGCTTGCAGTTATGAAAATGGTGAGATTGATTAAGCGTCTCAACGCTTGTAAACCTGAGTTTACAAGCATAGATCTAAATGTTCTCTAAAGGTCAATGGTCAAGCCTTTATTTGATTTTCTATATTCTGGTTTAAAAGTCAGCTTGCAAAAAGGCAAACTGCAGCTGGTTTGACACAGTCTTCTGGTGCAGAGAGGGTTACCAATTCTTCAGAAGGACTTTGGTGTCCAAAAGCCAGAGCATAGTACAAATGCTGGGGTGGTATATCCACCACTATCTTTGTTGTTAGATTCCCTTCCTATAAATCAGAGCGACAGGAACTGGTCAGTTCTGTATTAAGAGTGTTAAAGCTCTGTACAGACAGTTCAGGTCAAGAGGTGGGAAAAACACTTTGCCCAACATTTCCTTTAGTGTTTCAATCTACTTCTTTGTGTGCCATAAAGAATACAATTCTTTATTCTTTTACAATACACTTCTCCACTTAGAGGGGGAATAGCTGCATTCCTGAGGTCTCCCCTCCTTTATTACATTTTCCCTTCTATTTGTGGTGGATTAACACTATTAAAGCTGAGTTGCCAAAAGCCTTGGGAGACTCCCTCTTTCTGTAGTAGAGCCCATTACAAAATGAGGGATAAATCCTGATAAGGTTTCTGGATGCTGTTGTAACACGATAACTAATTTGGCCATTGGCCTTCAATGTGGGTGTTTTAGAGAGTGTGGATAAAGTGGGCTGTCTTAAAGAAAGTGCTCTCTGTTCCTAGCCTTTTCCCCATCTTAAAAATTTATGGTATACCTCTTCTTTTTGTTACTTGGAAACTCAGAGCTTTCTTTTATTTACAACCTACTATAGCAAAAGAGTATTCCCAGTGTAATCATTTTTTAATTGTAGAGCATATCTACAATCAGAATCCTGTATTTGAACTCTGACTCCCTACAAAGATCCCACTGACTTTGGGAGAGCAGGAATTTCATTCCTGTGCTTGTTTTCCCTAATACCTGGATACATTTTGAGGACTTCACAGCTGAAACTCATTGCAGGGTGATCCAGAAGATACAGAAGCAAGTATCCCTAGTGGTGTCTTGACATTTATGTATCAAGTTTTACTTCCTAACTAGAAAGTTATTTTTAATAACTTTTAATAACTTTCACTTAAAAAAAACCTCATTAGGATTTTTAACTCTCACATCTGGGAATAAGAGTGACCTAGAATGCCGATGCGATGATTCATAGTATTTTAATTTTTGTAATATGGGAAACTATCACATAAATTTTAAATTGCACATTTCAGCTACTGCTCCAAGTAGGATTTGATATGGCCAGAAATCTTCCCACTCTGGCTTGCCAGGAGCAAGCCCGCAAGTTGAAATGAGCTTCAGTTGGAAGAGGGGGCAGAATCAAGAACACACTAAAAATGCCACAGCCAAACCCTTCACTGTCTGCTCTGGCTTTGCTTCCCCTTTCAGCAGACTGATGTGTGCAGCTTGGTGGGCTCCTTCCTCATCATGGAGGAATGATTGATCTTTCAGCTTTCCTGCCTTTATTGGGTGTGGCTAGAGGGCAGGTCACCAAGGCTTGTCTGCTTAAGGAAATGCAATATTCAGAAAAGGTGGAAGAATCTATGTTGTTGCCTGTGGCTAGCAACCAGTAAGATAAATGACTGAGAGCTTGCTCCCCAAGCAATAGCTCAAGTCTCAAGACCTTAAGTCTGTTGCAAAATATGTCCACCCTTCATAGATAAAAATCCAAGAAAATAAAACACATTGTCTGTTTCCCTGCACCCAAGTTTTAGGCTTATTTCTGTAAGACATCCCATTTTCAGCAACTTCTCCTCCTCCAGGCCAGATGTTACACGAGTTAGAAACTACAGTCAAAGAAATTGTCCTGTACCTTGTACTTGGCTGTGCCTTCCAGCCAACTACAAACCACACATGCCAGATACCATCTCCTCCTTGCCTTTGTGGCCACTCTCAAAATGGAGCTGAGTGGCCCTATTCAGTCTGTGCTGGGCTGACTCCATGCCTGTTCTGCATGCCAGGTCCATGCTGTTCTCTCCCTCTGCACCTCGACCTCCCTTCCCAAGACCTGGGGGGACTCTTGGGGGCTGCGGGTGCAGCAGGGCTGCTTGTGCCAGCTCATGGAGCCGGTCTCCCTGGCACATGCTGGCTGTGGTGCTGGCTAGAGGCAGCAGTCTTCTTGTGAGTTACAAAGACAGCAGTTGGGCCTGAAAACACAAGAGTGGTTTCCAAGCTGTGCAGGGCAGCTCTCGCCACTGTGCAAGACAAGGAGCTGCCCAGTCACACTGGTTGCACTACCTGATCTGAGAGGGAGAGCCAGGTGACTTGAAAGTGTGTCAGGTCTTAAGGTGGACTGTGGAGGAACACCTCAGTGTTTGGCTATACTAGACCAAAAAAAGGCCCATAAAAAATGTGACAGCATTTTGAACCCCTCCTCAGTATTACCCTTATTCAGCCTGAAACTTAATTTCACCTCCACGATCAGGCTTTCCATTTACCTGCATGTCCTGAGCTGTGAAACATTTGTTGGCCCTTTATTTGCATGTTCAGCTCTACCTGTTAGAGCGAAAAACACAAGAGAGAGCTTATGCTGCAACAGCAGTCTTCAGCTAACCCCTTATAGACTTCACAGAGCTTCAAGCTACTAATTGTCCAAGTGATCTCATTAAAGAGCTAAAGATAGCTGTGTGGACTCAAATACTGTAATTTCAAGGGAAAGAATTCAAACCCAGTGAGGCCAGGCAAACACTGATGAGCAGATGAGCCTCTCCTGATGTTGGCTACACAGACCCTTAGCTGTCCTCTTCTCCAATTAATTGCTTTGTCCTAATACAGGGGTATTTCATTCCCTCCTGTAAGTAATTTCTGCAACTCAATAAAGCAGCGTTCTTCAGAAATATGGAGGGAATTCTGGCTAGCACCACTGTTTTTAGCCTTTATTTAAAAGTCACCACTTGTTTTTGGACTGCCGTATTTCTGAAGTGGAGAATATCAAATGTATCACACCCTATTGTCTGTGTTAACTTTTTCAAAATTAATACTAGCCATCTAGACAAAAATGGGGAAACTTGAAGCTACAACTTCCAATTACAGCTCTGTATCTGCAGGTTATTACTTGCTTCTTGTAGTACTTTTTTCTTTCTTTCCCAAAAGAAAGGGAGTCTCCTAAAAACCTTGATGTTGACTCTTTTCAGGCAGCTGTCTTCTTACCTTCCCAAACCCCTGCAACATTTTCTGTGCTCTTCTGAACTCCATACAAGTCAGTTGTAATCCTCTCTAATCTGTCCTCTAGTGAGCACAGAGCTGATTCACCAAACCTCTGTATGTAGTAATAATCTTTAATACTATTCAGTCATCTTCTACGGCAGTGATTTCGTTTCCTCTTTCACCTTTGTGGTTATTATGGCCTCATCTTTTTAGGCACTTTGCAATCTTGTCATTCCTCTCTTATTAATATGAAACCTCATAAATCATGTGTCAGGCCTTCAGTTACCATGTCCTTTTTCATTCATTCGTTTTGCTGCTGCCTTACCGATTCTTTTACCTCCTTTATCTGCAAGTAAAACGGAGATGTCCAATGCGTCCCCAGGCTGTGCTGGCAGCAGCTGCCTGCGCAGGCCGAGAGCGCGTCCTGCCGGTGTCCTTATGGAAATGCAGCCCTGGAAACATCCGCGAGCAGCGGGAAAATGAAACCAGTGGGGTATTTCAAACAACAATGCCCAAAGTGTCTGTGGCCCAGAGCCGGTGTCTGCTGCACTTAGTAGCTGAGGTAGTAGTGGTGATACAGGGATGGAAGTGTCAAGTGGTGGGTAATAATCTGTTTACACTTAGATTCATGGAAAATCTGCAAACCGAAGTCCAGGAAATGGAATTCATAAAGTTTTCAAAGGGTTTGAACGTCATGAGTAAAGAAGACTTTGCGGCGTGGTTGCTGTACTTCACTGATGAGGAAAACAATGAAATTTACTGGCAGAATGTGAAAGACAGAATCGAAGCAGGAGAGGTTGGTACCCAAAGTATGCTTTGTTTTGCTTCCTTCTTTGCATGCACAGGTTTTCATTTGAATGTGGTTATCTATGAGCTGCCGAATTAATTACTGCAGCCCTTGAATTTTATACAAGTAAGAGCAATGATAATTGGCCAACTGAGAAATACAAATATCAACAATGAGTAGGCAGTCACATCTAAACACTAAATCCCACCAGATTTAATGACATAGAATAATTGGGCTTTGAATGTATATTCATTATATATCATCTGAATTCTGTGGCACTCTAGAACATCAGTTTGGAAGAATTCAAGACTTTTTGCAAGTTTACAAATAATCTGGAAGACTTTTCTATCGCCATGCAGATGTTTACTGTTGCCAATCGTCCTGTTAAACGGGGTAAGTCCTGTACACCTTTTGTATGGTTTTCTTTAAAGGAAAATAAAATTAATTTTAATTATTAAATTAATGTAAATGAGTTATCCCAAAGTACCACAGTGAAGTCTAAAAATACTATTCTGCTCTGTATTTGGACTTAGCTATATTTCATGAAAAAATAGTAATATAAAGTTTCCAAAATGTTTTCATTTAAAAGTTCTAATGTGCTGTCATATGTAGATTAATCACAGCAGACTAAAGCATAATCATAAAATGGTGTGGGTTGGAAGAGACCTTTAAAGGTCATTTTTCCAAACCCTCTGCCATGTGCAGGGAACTCTGTCACTGGATCAGGTTGCTCAAAGGGTTTGAACCTTTGAAAGGGTCTGCCCAGCCAGACCCTGAACACTTTCAATGATGGGACAGCCATAACTTTGTACAGTTTCTTCCTTATGTCCAGTCTAAATACACTATTTTTCAGTTTGAAAGCATTTTGCTTGTCCTGTCATTACAGGCCTTGGTAATAAAAACTCTCTTTCTTATAAGCCCCCTTGATATAGTTAAAGTCCACAATAAAGTCTGCCCTGAGGTATCTCTTCTCAAGGCTGAACAACCCCAACTCTCTTGGCCTTTCTTCACTGAAGAGGTGCTCCATCACAAAAATTATCACATCATTTTTGTGGCCCTCCTCTGGACTCACTCCATGTCCTCCCTGTGCAATTATGTGCAATTATGTCTATCAAAAAGAAACAATGTCAAAAAGTGGGGTTTAAAATAAAGATTTTGAGGAGGGGAATTGCTTCCTTCCCATATAGAAGAAAGAGGAGCAATGCATCAAAAGTTTTATGGACATAAAAATGTTTTTTTGTTTTAATCCTGAGGTTGTTACTTAATTAGTTGTTACTCTTGAAGGACAAATCTCTTAAATTAATTCAAATTAGCAACATAAAAAGTTCCTGAGGAAATGTGAGGAGGTGTTAACATTCATTGAAATTAATATTTGATGAGCTCATGTGAAGAAAGATGAGATATGTGAGAAGACAGAAAGAGAAACACATAATCTTGAAAGAGAAACGTTTGGATGGGATTTGAACCAAAGAAAACTGGGGGATTTACAGCTTGTGACTTTCATTACTACTCTGTTTATGCTCTGAACCCCACTGTAATCGAAAGCAGTCAGCTGCTGAGGTAGCTCACAGATGTTACTTACCTATATGTCTAATTCTCTCCTGAATCTGGCTGAGTTCTTCATCTTGATGTTTGCATGTGTGTGTATTCACATACATTTGACCATTTACTTAAAAATAAGACAGTCTTTTAGTCCTTCATTTTATTCTAGACTTCTTTTTCTTCTAAGTTTGCAACTTACCTTTTCTCTTTGATAAGGTGGCCCGTCTCTGTTTGAAGATTGTTATGCCCCGCTCTTGTAGAAGATCTTCATTTATTCATGTTGTGTTCAAAGAAACTACAGTGCCATGTCTGGATTTAAATTCAGCTTCAAGAGATGAAACAGTTAACATCTTTTCAAAGGCAAAATTAAGACTACTATAAACATCACATGTTTTATGTCTTTTTCAAGTTGTGGTATATCCTTTTACAGAAGGATTTTTAACTTAATTCTATTTAAACCAACTGTGAAGTAATCAACTACATTTATACAGGAATTGTTGAAAGAGACAAAGATGAGAGCTATGTCAGGAATGCTCTTCCCTCTAGTAAGCTTCAGAACTAATATGGATAACACTATTTTTAAACAACACTCGTTCATGAAAGCAGAACCACATTAATATTGCATTTATTACTAAATTGGACAATTTACTGCAATGATCTACAATACTGCTCTGCTTCAATAACCTCCAGTTCCTATTTGAAATTCCCACTTCCATGATACCTTCAAAAATTTATCCAATTCATATGTTGCAATTGTGCTTGCTATAATAAACAGTAATCCTTTCACTCTCACGAGCTGCTGTTTTGCGGCAGGCTCACACACTTCCGCACCCAAATTCTGTACACCACAGGACCAAAAGTGGGGATAGTGGATGTTTCTATACTGCAGATGGTGGTGTAAAGAGAGAATAAAAAAGCTGAAGATTGAAAGTACATTTCCAGAGAGGTATGGCAGCTTTTTCTGCCACAAATCCTCAGTAACTCTTCAACATCATTTTAGAGTGGGTAGCCAACTTCTCTCAAAACCAGAACTACAGGTATCTAAAGCCATGTGCTGTAAGCAGTGCATTGACCATTTGATGTTCTATGTTTCTGAAGAGTTGCTTCAGAAGAGGAGATTGTTAGTTGAGGTGGAGCATATCATAACCTACTGTTCTCTGAGAAGAGTTTTCTTGTAGAATGAATTGTCATGAAACTGGCTTGAGATAAAATGATAAGGGTTTTTATGAGAGGATAGTAAGGCAAACCATTCCTATGAACATTACCATTCCTGTGAACAGGTAACAGCCAAAAGTATATAAGTGTTCATCTATTTCTAGCAAAAATTATCACTTTTACTGTTCTTAGGAAGTAGTGCATTGCTAAAACTTTTAATAAAATTAATAAAGATAGCATTAAAGAGAAGAAACAAGCTCAAGAATGCATGAACTGAGGCCTCCTATTAGTTTAGTAGTTTATACATCCCAAATTTTCCAGGTAAGATACCCATGAGCCATTGAAAATTGGACAGGATCCTGCTATTTATAAGTTTTCCATTTTCTTTGTAAGTTCAGTCACCTGTGATGTAATATTGTGTCTTTATTAGCTGAGTTCAAGAGAGCAGTGAAGGTGGCAACAGGACAGGATCTATCAGATAATGTTTTGGATACCATCTTCAAGATTTTTGATCTAGATGGAGATGACTGCCTCAGCCACAGCGAGTTTCTTGGAGTCCTGAGGAACCGAATTCATCGAGGTTTGAGGGTAATGAGCTGACATAATTGTTTGTAAATACTACAGATGATTGCTACAGCTCTCTTGTAAACGCTTGTAGAAACACAGGTGGAGTTAATGAATAGCAAAAAATACATCTTTTAAACCGCATAATCCTTACTGCATATGAATCTGGGAGAAGAGCTGCCACTAAGAGCTTGTTGTTACACATGTGAACTATGTAAGGAGCAGCACAACATTATATATTGTATTTACACGGTCTGTGAACAGCAGTCTTTTTTGTGTGAATGCTAAACACACTTTAACTTTATTGACAGGTACCACAGCAGCAAGGCATTCAAGGTTTCTGGAAGTGTGTGAAAAAAGAAAGCATCAAAGAAGTCAAAGAACTGTGGAAGCAAACTGGGAAAAGTCCTTTTTAAAGCAGTCCATTTTTCTTTTGCTTAAGTGGTTTTTCTTTAGGGGAGTTTGTCTGTCCTGTTTACATAATAACTAAATCAAAAATATTCAGTTTTTTTTAGCTGTAGTTCAAGTTTAATTAACCCAGACTCTAATGCAATAGTTTTATAATCGTTCCAATGCAATCAGTTTGGTTTACAGAACTGGTATTGCTTTTGACCTCCATACAGAAGCACTCTTGTTCTGGGGAATAGTGTTGTTTGCTGCCCTGTGGGGTCTGGCCCTGCACTGCGGGATACAGGATGCACAAGACTGAATAACAGCCCCAGGCAGGAACATCACAGCAGTATCATCTCCTGTTGAAGGAGTGGACATCATCTCAGCCACCAACACAACAGCTCTCCTTCTCCAGCAAGAGCAGAGGTCCACAAGGCAAAATCACTTGCACAACACATTTTAAACTAAGTTATCCTAAACCAAAGGGAAAATTCACACCTTGTTACGGGGATCTGCTGAGGTGCTGGTTCCTAGTGCTTGAGTCCACCAGTTCCTGTGGGGGTGTCTGGTTTGTCTGCCTTCATGGTGTTAATATGAAACTGGAAATACAAGAGTGATAGGCTTGATGCAAGGTTTAAAAGTTGTACATTGATCAATGAGTGTGCATTGAGTGTCTCAGACCTCTTCCACATAGTATAAATGAGAAGAAAAAATGCTCAGTCTATCAAACACAGTGTAGCTACAATTTGACTTGTGACTATTGTGCTTTAATTGTATGGCAGAAGATGAATGCATAACAAGCAGTTGTTTTATCTTACTAAAAGTTGTGACAGGGAAACCTGAAGTATCTCAGGAATTCAAGGTTATAATAAGCAATTGTTGAGGTAATATGTCCAATAAAAAAACAAATACAAATGTTTGTTAGTCCAAATGCAAAGTTAGACCTAAGATCTTAAATACTAAAAGGAGGAACAAATAAAGACTAACACTTGGAAATTACAGATGATCATTTTTTAGCAGTAACACAAGGTGTATCTCTGTATATACAGGTGTGCATGTTACATGTTTTGTCTTTCTTACAATCCCAGGAGCCAGTAGCCAGGTCCAGATCACTCTTCCTGGCTGGCAATATATAGGATGAGGTAATATCCATCCATTTTTTTGCATGACATCAGCTATGTTTGCCCCAAAGTTGTAAATAAGCTCAATATGTGGTGCTGGCTTGTCATTTCTTTGGGTTGTGTGAGAAGAGGGGAAATTTCCATGATAGGTAAGATATCAGGGCAGCTCTCACTCTGTGCAGGGACAGAAGAGAATGCATTGGGAAACCCTAAAGGTCCCACCTAAGGAATACTGAGATTACTGAGAATGTGTTTGATGTGTCACCTTTGTGCTGAGGACAAGTCCTAGTGCCCAAGCCTTGGCGTAGTGATCTCTGCTAGGGAACACAGTGAGAGGCCTGCAAAGCAACTCCTCCCTCATGACCTCAGCTTGGAGCTTTAATCTAAAATGTTGAAGACAAAATGCTTGTAGTCCTTTCATGGACATGTACCCAGAACAAGACCATGCCTGTGGGGATGTCTCAAGACTGTCTGGAAGATCAGGCACCAGTGACCATTAAGGATCCCTCTTCCCCCAGGAAAAAATCCATATGGAATTAACCATGTGGAAAGAATCCAAATCCAGTAAACACCTCAGCTTCCTCCCCTCAAACTGAGCTCACACAGTTCTGTGAGGGCATCAGGATAGCAGGTGGCTGGTTTACTTCGTGTGTTTGGAAATTGTTTCTTGCTTCTGCTGGTGGGAGCAAAGGTGGGGCAGTGGGACTGGCACCACAGTACCATGGCCAGCTGCACTTCACCAAATTATAAAAAAAATTACACTATTGAAAAAGAGCATCCATGGCACTAAAGTGTGTGTGTGTGTGTTCACCCAAAGTGTGCTTTGTGGCTTTACTGCAAGACTGCCTTTTATTTGTTGCTGTTAATATTTTGGCAAATTATTTTTACTTTGGAGTGGAAATTATTCCCTATCATTTTATTCTGTATGAAGTTAATAGGTTTATGATGTTTTTTATTGCTTTTGTGGTTTCTTTTGTTTACTAATTACTTTCTTCTTACAAGCTGGTTTTCCTTTGGAAAAATGAACTCATTTAGCTTTAGTGTATTTAGAAGTTTTAATTCCTCAGTGCTCATTTCTGTCTGGGTTTGTGCAATCAACACTATCTGCTTTCAGGGATTTCAAGTTTTATTTTTCAGCAAAAGCTTTGGTGTCAAATTCAGAGGAAAAGCAAAGAGATATGCTTGAGTTTTATATTAATTTTGTGTCTATGGTGAAAAACATTTTTGATTGGAAATTAAAATAGAGTGATGAATCATTTTTAGAAGTTATCCTGAAAGTGCATCTGGGAAGGAACTCCTTTAAAGGCCAGACATGACTTGTCCATCAGGCTTGAAGAATCAGACTTGGTATTTAATTTGTAAGTTTATTGTTATTTGTCAACTAAAATGCTTTATAAAAGACTCTAAAAATAATTTCTCATTTTTAACATCTTAGATTGAAAGAGATGTTTATGTATTTAGATAAATCCTGGTTTATAAGAAATTCATTATAATTGAAATGTTTGATGTTTTAGTTCCTTTTAGTCACTGTATGGTATTTGCAGCCTGTGAGCATTACTCAATACAGTTTAGTTAAGGTTTATGCCAGCTACCAATCTAAACATATCACTTGTGACTTGTTTTAACATTAGGAACTCTTCCTCTGAACAGAAGTATATATAAAAGCTAAATAAAATTGATTTTTTTTTTAAATCAATCGCATTGCACCTGAATTTTATATGGAATAAAGATGAATATGTTTCACATTGCAGAAGTCTCAAAAATTGATACAGCATGGCAAAAGGATACACCAAGAAAGTGCAGTCACAGCATATAACTTCTTTACAGAATTTTGGTGGTTGTATCCCCATAATAACACTTTTTACATTGCTTTGTTTGTTTAAGATAGTATCTAAGAACCATTCATTCTCCATTTCCAAAGGAAGCAAAGGCAGAAATGCAGTGTGATATACTAAAGTAACAGAAACTCATTGGTTGTTTCTAGAAATTAGTTCTGGTGTTTTGGTTTGTAAAAGCCTCTTTCTAAAAGCAAAATCCCTCTGTATTCAAACCAAGTTGGCAGGTTTTAACGAAACAGGCAACCATGAGGAGTACATAGCAGACAAAGAGCCAGGCCATCAACTGTGGTTTCATGGCACTTCACATGTTCAGTGCATAGAAGAGAAAAAAGGATCACTGCCCAATAAAGGGCAAGAATGGGAACAACCGTGTTCCTTAGAGGAAGTATAAAATTCAAGTATACTGACCATATTTTTGACTAAAACATAGAAATGGATAGATAAGTGTACATCAGAATTTAAAAATACAGGTTTTTTCTCATGCCAGAGTCCTCAGAGGAGATGGCAAGCATGCCTCATACCTTCAGTTTTAATTTTTCCTATAAAATAATCACAGCTGGGTCAGGAAACTACTCCAATGCAGAAAAAAACCCTTCAGTAATTCTAAAATACGTGCCCAAATGATGTTGTGGTCATTATTAGTGAGATCCAAGTGGCTCCAGCAAACAGCTTCTGTAATGCAGTTGGTCACAAGGGAAGCATGAAGATGAACGTGGCAGATGTAGGCACACTCTTCTAGTGCCCAGCTGGCCATAGAAGTTCCTCCTGCAGAAGCTGAAGAAGTCACCCAATAGGAAGCCGAAAGCCCTTTGCAGAACAGAAAACCTGAGAGACTTGAGCATGCACAAAATTAATCAGCAGACAAGTGCATGTCTCTTCACTCATTTATTTGAATGTTTCCTGTTGGCTTTGTTTATTAAACAATTCCTAGTTGATTCAATAATAAAAAAAAATCATACAACATATGTGGAGACAGATTTCCCATTAGGCCAGTATTGGCTTAGTTAATAATGTTTCCAGTTCATTAACTGGAGTGCCCTAGCACGGAGCTCTGCTTGCTGTCCTCAGCGGCACAGCCACTGCTCCTGCACACCGGCAGCGCAGGGAGCCTGCTCAGCGCTGCTCCCACCTGCACGGGCTTAGCCACAACACCTCCTGCCCTGGGAAGTAAAATGCCATGGTTTTCCTCACCTGTGTGCCCATTGTGAGTTTAGGTTGGGTACTAGGGAAGAATACTTCAGATAAAGGGTTAGCAAACCCTGGAACAGGCTGCCCAGAGAGGCAGTTGTGTCACCATCCCTGGAAATGTTGAAAAGATGTGTAGATGTGGCACTTGGGGACATGGTTTAGTGGTGGTAGATGTGTCAGTGCTGGGTTAATGGATGGACTTGATGATCTTCCAAGTCTTTTTTAAATGACTCTGTGATTCTCTTCAGCCTCTGGCAGAAGGCTGGCCTTCCTTCCCAGGCTGACAGAGTGGTGGATGGCATCAGGCTGTGGGAGAATGGACACAACACCTTGCAGAACACTGTTTATGACTGGGTCTATGTTGGCCAGATTTCAGACACATAGATTTGAAAAGCTGGGGGGAGGAGTATTCCATAGGTGATTCAGAGGAATGTGGGGGAGTTTTTCTCATGGGATTTCAGATGAAAGCTCGCTGCTCTGAAACAGCCTTGGAGGCCCTGGCCTTTCTCCGTGATCTGCAGAGGGAGCACAGGAGATGTGCCTCGCTGAACTAAACCTGTGCTTTGTGAATGCCACGAGCACTTTCCTGGAGAAAGGATGTTCTACAGAGGTGTTCTACCATAACACTGTGCCTCGGGTCCACTGCTTTAGGGGAAATTTGTCAGTTTTAGTGTTAGCCCATGGAGCAACTGGTAGCTTTAAATCACCTCAAAGAAAACCAACTGGTTTAAGACTTTTCAGTAAAATGTTTTATTTTTGCTTTCTGTTTCAGGATACAGATTTTGTGTTTTAAATTATGTGGCCTCTTACTCTGTTTTAATCTACTTTGAAAATGATACTATTAGAGTGAGCAAACATTACTGAAAACACAGTGTACGTCACTTAAATAATGCACAGAAAGTAATTCCTAGAGCAATGGCAGATGAGTCACAGGGTAGAAGATTACATTCACTGTTGAAAAGAAAGGATACCAAAATATGATGCTTTGCCACTAACCTGTAGAAAAGGAGACTAATGATATGATAAGTCCTAAAGTTAAAAGAAACAATGTTATTAGAAGAAACAGAAAGCTATTAGAATAAATAAAAGATTTAGGAAACATTAATATCACTGCTAAAAGGATGCTAGATAAGCAAAGAACAAATCAATATGGCTGAAATTAAGGTTTTTAAAATGCTGTTTGACCAAAAATGCATCCTCAGAATTTATAAATTTGATCCAATGCAAACAAGGGCTACTAATCACTGCTAGTTGGTGTGTACAAGATTACATGATCTGTACTGGAAGGTGAAGAGCAAATACTTTACCTAATCTCGGTTGGTTTTATGTGTACATCAGAGATGCAAAGCCTCCAAAAAATAAATTTGTTGCATGTTACACAGAATAAATGAGAGAAATTATGGGTTTGTGTCAGTCTCCATCTAAGAGGTTGGGTTGCTTCTGCCTGGGGATTGTATGCTCCTAGAATTTAAGATGAGCTACTTTGAGAGGGAAAAAATACAGAAGCAAAATGGAGATTAAATTGTTGTAGATTACAAGTACTAAATAGTATAGAGAGTAATTCTGAGTAGGAGAAGTGTTTGCAGTGCCTTGGTCTGGGACCAACAAACATCTGGAAGAATGCAACAGACCTTAACTGGTACTGAGGCTGCAAAGGGAAATGTTTAACTTCTCTTACATGCTTTTTAATGTGGCTAAAGTAGGTGGGCAGCCAGAAGTGGAGGTGTGATATGAAATGGAAGCCTTTTTTTTCAATATTTGACAATCACGGGATCCAGTGAGAATGTGGTGAGCAGCTGTTCCCACAACATGGCATTCTGAATTGCTCTTCAGCTTCCCAGAGTCTGCTCCA